GAGAGTCCAGCCCAGCGCTCTCCCGTGGAAGATCCTGCTTGCAAAACAGGCAGGACGTTTCGTACCGCTTCATGCGACTGAAAGCTGCCGTGCTCACAGTCGCCTCTCCAAGCACATGAAACCTCTGGCGAGTGTTAGCCATCCTCCTTGCTTTCGAACACAAATCTTAGGAATGCTGCACATTCTGGCATGGCCTCGCGCCGACCCGAGTTCAAGAACACATTGAGAAAGCATTAAAGTGAAAACCCGCAGCTGCTCATTTACTATTGGATACTATTGAATGGTAGTTGTTCTTTTCAAGAACCGGCTCCATGTCACTACACCCGTCCTTTCACGAACTGCCACTCTCTCAATCGCACACGTTCTTATAATAGTCACTTTGTTATGCGACTGAATGTGATTGCTTCAAGACACCTACGCTTAAATATTGCTATCCGCTGTCGACCGGACTTGTCAGCCTGTGTTTGTTTTTCTTCTTTGAAACACCCTGAAAGTCGTCCAATCTTCACCCCCACCCAAAACCATTGAACAGCTACTGTACATCTTATGCATTCTATACAAGCCCGCTTGCTGAGGGCAAAGGCCTGAGGACCTCGCACGAGAAAGAGGCCACATGGAGTTCCTGGATCTAGTTCAGATCCAAGACTACCTTGTGGATGGCGCAGGGACCACAGAGGCTGGTACCCGTTGGGCCAACGAAGGATTTCTTCCAACTGTTTGTTTGCGGTGAGTAACACACACAGAAAGTGATCAGGAAAGGTTGAGTGACATGCAAAAGCGTTGGACGCACCTAGTCGCAAACGTCCAGAGACATTTGCCCTCTTTGCGATGCACGTCCTGTGTATTGTTGAATGTTTTCGTGTCGGACAGGTCAATGGTCTTTATTCGAAGTCCAAACGAGCGGACAATGGCCTCTTAGTGTTCAAAAACAAGAACGGGATTGTCCTCTTCAAGCAGCTTGCAGCAACAAGAAATGCTGTTCGTCAGGGTTGCTGAATGTCCCGTCAAGACCTATACCAGTGCCTGAAGGGTATTGACGGACGTAAACTACGTAGCCACTGGCATTGAAACATACATTGGAGCCCTTCTTTTCGCGGGTGCCATTTGAGGTTTCTGCAGGAGATGTAATTGGGGATTTTGATTGGTATTAGTGAAGGACCCGTCTCCAAAGAAGTGAGGTGATGGTTAAAAGAAACTATGTAAAGCCAAAGCATTCAAGGGACTCTGGCACGGGTGTAGTGCAGTGTAGTGATCAAAACGACACCAGACGGGTCTCCGTTCATAACTTATCAACTGACAGTCTCAGCACTGAAATGGGAGCTGCTGGCTTGGCAATAGAACCTCAGTGATGAAAACCTAGGTTCCGGGACAAACTTGTTTTGCTCCATACCATCATGAACTACACAGGTTTGGAATGTTCCGTCCCACAGACTGATGGACATTAGTTGCTACAGAGATGCATAACCTTCCTTTGTTTGTGTTCAAAGCTCTCCAGTGTGGATGACCAAGCCAATTCCAGGTATGAGGAATATTGGTACTTCTCCAAAGATGGCCAGTCAACCGATCAAAGCGCAGGCACCCTGGCAGACAGCAGTGAGGTGACCAGCTATGGAGTCAAGTTACGAGAAGCTTTTGGATCCTGTGAGTATCTGAGACGAGGTCACTATTATCGTGTCCAATCTGATGCCAGCTCTCCTCCAGCTGATGGTGTCTATGCTGCCATGGTGTAGACTGTGTGCATCCTGACAAGCCAGAGTAGAAGCAGCACCGAAGACCTCCTATTGCGCTTCTGTTGTTTCTGCTCTTTTGCCGGTTTCTGATGCCAAGTGATCCGGGACCTTGGTATTTCACTCGTTAAGGTTGGAACACCACAGATTGCCCTCTTGGAGACGGCACGTCAGAGCACCTGGTCACTGTGCTTTGCAAAAAACTGAAGAGACTTTGAAATCTGAAGCTGAAGCCTATTTGTTGCAGAAAACGTACACCTTAGTCTGAAAAAGCAGATGTGTCTCAGGTCCTGCCCAACGGTGCAACCCATGGACCTGGAGCACGAGGGTCCAGTCCCGAGTGTCCAGCTGGTCTGGCTGACTGACTCTCAAGGCTGTTATTGGCCGCTGGAAGCTTGACCCCCAACCGGCGACAGAGGAACAAACTTGGGTCTGTGGGGAGCTGCATGCAAATGAACTTGCTCTTTCTCAAGCCATCTAAATGCTGCACCACAAAAACACCTTGGCATCAAGCCACCTGCCTTGCTGCGCAGACTCGACTCTTCCCGTGATTCATCACATTCAGGCAGAGTCCCCTGGCTGCGTATCTTCCGAGCCTCCTCACGAAGGACTCTTTGAACCCTTTGAGATTTGTTGGACTGTGTCCACACCGCCACCAAAAGCTCAAGCATCATCTGCCAACAGATGAACTCTGCTGTATATTCCTCCTTGACTAGTCTAGTTCTTTTATCCTTGACTGTCTCGTGTGATCTAGTCCGGCTTGCTGTATCTCACCAGTTTGCTTCAACACCCTATATAAGTCTCTTGTGTTTCTCCTAGCCCAAACGAATCCACCTATTTGGTGGCCATTGCAAGCCGACAGAGTTGCGTTTGTGTTTTTACTTGTGCAGTGGAGTGTTCAGCTGCCCTAGGCCCTAGATTTTGGAACTTCTCACTTTCATTGGCTATCGGCTGCCATAATGCACAGAACCCCGACCCTGAGAGCCAGGTGGAACGAGCTATAATTACTAAGTGTGCCACCAATTTGCTGTCCCGCAACGAGAGATTGTAGGCCTTGTTCTGTCAAGTCTCTTGAGGCTTTCGCTCTCATTACAGAACTGCTGATCTACCGGTTGGGAATCTTACACTTTGCGCGCCAGTTTCTACCACTCGTGCATTTGCTACAATACCATCATTGCTTGCTCCATGGTCTCAGTTTGCACTTAACTCTCACTGCCTCAGAATTGCACTGACACTAAGCTGAACCGCACTGCCAGGTGAGAGTGGACCGGTATCAAGTGAACATGCACCATTTAATCATATGGACATGAACTGTATCCCATGTCAACCCTCTCCTCCCAAATCTTCCATGGTCAGCAAGAAAGTAAAGTAAGACCCTCGCACAACAAGAAGGACCAGATCAACCGCCCATTGGTTGGGAGTTTAGGGTTGTCCCGTTCAATAGAGGACAGGCATGTGAACATTGGACAATGTCGCATAGATCATCATGGAGCAATTGGAGCACCAGGTCTTTGACGCGGTTCGCTTAACCTGGAATGAATCACCTCAGAGGTCTTCCACCAGAAGCCTTGTGCAAAGTGGTTGAGTACATCAGAGGACTCAACATCTCCTACAGATCGCTTCATTCCATGACATTGGAATCTTCAAGGCCATGGCTTTGGTGGCCCCTTCATTGCATAAGTGCAGTTCCCAACACCTTTGCTGTTAATTGGTAGTGAATACCAAGTTCTATTGGCCCAGGCTGGACATTGCACAAAGCAGCAAAGGAGGGCCAAATGGATGTGCTAACGGCATTGCTTGACAAGGGAGCGGATAAGGAGCGGAAGGGTTGCGGATGTCTGAAACAAATAGTGAACGATCCCACATGCTTTGCATGTCGCTCTTTCACTACATGGGACGTTGTCAAAATCGCTTCCTACGTCGTTGCTATGATGTGAAAGTGTTGGTAAACTGCCGGTCACATATGTGGGATCCTCGCCGGTGCTTCGAGTCCATTCCTGATGCTTCAGCTTTCGGATGTATGCTTTCTGGGTGGACCTTGTGCCTTCAGGACCAGAAAGACGAGGACGAAGGCACGAGGAAGATACATGCATGATCACACGTTTGTGGCCAGCCGCATAAGACCATTGGCCCATTGCAAGAGCTTTTTCTTCCTTCAGCCCATTGGTTTGCCAAACTTCCTTTGGTTGGGCTTAGATCTTGACAGGTACTGGTAATGCACTTCGGCAGGCACAGTCTCAGTCTTGTAAGCATCGCGGTTCCTGACCTTCAGGTGGGGCTGCCTTGCATTACGCAGCGCTAAGGGGCCACGTGGAGATTGTTCGGGCGCTGCTCGAAGCAGGGGCGGAGAAGGACATCCAGCACCATGCAGGCCATGGTCTCAGAGGGCTCAGCAGTGAGGTGTGTTTGCAACCGCTGGAAACCTGTTTGACTCGACCGATGTTTTGGAAGAGAGTGGGGTAGGATGTCAAGGGCAAGAGTGCCCTGGACTTTGCATTTTGCCGGCTGTCCGCGGTTTCAGGCTGGACTCCTCTCCTTTTGGCAGTCAGAAGTGGCCATGTGGAGGTAGTCCAAGAGCTGGTCAAAGCCGGCGCAGCGAAGGATATCAAGCAAGAAGATGGCCTCGGCCTCAGAAGGCGCATCCAGTGGGTCCCACTGCTCAGAATAGTGTAATTGTAGAGTCTCACCGCCAAATCATTTACTCCTTGCCCAATTTATATACCCTTAGAGGTTAGACTCTTAGACCATTGGTTGGCTCCCAAACCCGGTCACTGTCCCTATTGCAGCACTTCAGGCCAGACTGCCTTGCACTTTGCAGCAAGAGAATCCCACCTGGAGATCCTCAAAGAGCTCCTTGTAGCCGGTGCAACGAAGGAAGTGCAGGACAATGAAGGCCAGGGGCTCAGAGGGGCTCGGGTGGGGAAGTATCGCAGATGAGGGCTCAGCCGTGCTGATTTTTGAAGCAACGGAGCCATGTCATCAGGGAAGAGATCCACTGTGGTGGGGGGAGTTTTTCCACCCGTGGCTGGGTGTATCAAAATAGAGAAAGACACCGTTTGACCAATATAAGATCTCCGATTCACCAAAACAGCTCTTGCTCCCAATTCTGTGTGCCCACAGATCTGTTGTACTCATGGTACCGCTGGCAAGAGCCTGAAGTGCTGGAGAGACACTGCAAAGCTTTGGAAAGTCTGCAACGCCTTTATTCTTTCAATCATCTATTCTAAACACACTCTTTGGTTCTTGATGATTAAATGTGCTGTGCTTCTGGTGTTTTCAAACGCTTTGCTTGAGCAGTTCACTTCCTTTCCTTCCGAGTAGTGTGCAGTGTCGTTAAATCAAGGAGCCTTTTGTAGCAGGGTGTGTGTACTGATAGCCGCTGGAATGGTCGGACTGACATCGCTCTGTTAGACAAAATGCTTGGGAAGATGCAGTGTGAAAGGAGGCCACGACAGGTTCTGGGCCTTACATGTTGACCGGCCGGCTGCAGTTTCAGGCCTTACTCCTCTCCTCCTTGCAGCGGCACGTGGCCATGTGGAGATAGTGAAAGAGCTGATCCAAGCCGGCGCATCGAACGATGTCAAAGACAATGCTGGCCTGGGCCTCAGAGGCCTCATCCAGTGAGTGCGTCCCACGACTCGGAGTAGTGTAGGGCCAGTTTGCAAGTTTGTTGCAAAACCTGTCTTCACAGAGACACTGCAGAAACACGGCAAAACTTCACGGAGATGGGAAAGCCTGTCTTCGTCGAAGCATCCATTTTATGCCCTCCCCCTCTTTGATTTATATGTCCATCTTCAAGGCCAGACCGTTGGTTGGCTCCCAAACCCAGTCCCTGTCCCCATTGCAGCAGCTTCAGGCCGGACTGCCTTGCACTTTGCAGCAAGAGAAGGTCACATGGAGATCGTCAAAGAGCTCCTCGCAGCCGGTGCAACGAAGGATGTGCAGGACAACGAAGGCCAGGGCCTCAGCGGGGCTCGGGTGGGGAAGTGATGAGGGCTCAGCCAAGCTGACTTTTGAAGCACTGGAGCCATGTCATCAGGGAAGAGATCCACTGTGGTGGGGGAGTTGTTCCACCTGTGGCTGGGTGTATCAAAATAGAGAAAGACACCGTTTGACCAATATAAGATCTCCGATTCACCAAAACAGCTCTTGCTCCCAATTCTGTGTGCCCACAGATCTGTTGTACTCATGGTACCGCTGGCAAGAGCCTGAAGTGGACACTGCAAAGCTTTGGAAAGTCTGCAAAGCCTTTATTCTTTCAATCATCTATTCTAAACACACTCTTTGCTTCTTGATGAGTAAATGTGCGGTGCTTCTGGTGTCTTCAAACGCTTTGCTTGAGCAGTTCACTTCCGAGTAGTGGGCAGTGTCCTTTCTTTATTAAGTTAAATCAAGGAGCCTTTTGGACAGATGAACGCATCGCTCTTAAACATTTTGACCAGGGCCCGCAAGTCACAGGCCCTTCCCCACCTGACAGGATTGAGTTAATTGACCTGCTACAAGACATCACCTACCAAATGCCCCTACAGTAACCTGACCCACTGTGTCCCGCCGAACAGTTGCCCGTCCCGGTGGTCCGACGCAACGTGTCCCACCAATACACCGACCCAATGGTCCTATGAGTGCCCTGCCAGCAGCTCGACCTAGCATCCCAGTGTAGATTGAATTTGTATAGGTTTGGCGGCCTCAAAGAAGGAACCTGGTCGGGTGGGGACAGCTCAAGGTAAAGTAGTCGCTTTGGTTAGCAGGCAGTCCGCCATCCTTAGGTTACTTACCAACATGTTGTCCACTTTCTTAAGCCTTCGATATATTTTATCCGCGCAAGCATCATAGTGTTGTATACTCTCTCGGATGGCAAGTAAATGTGTGAGATGTCCAGACCCTGCACCCTCAGCCTGACTTTCTGGCCAGCCAAATCATAGCACATGCGCAAGGCCGCCAAAGCCGGCCGGCTAAACAAGAGTGGGACTCCACAAGTACAACCACCTCTTGACAATGCGCGGGAGCCTCCCTGAAATGCAAGAACAGCCTTTCAAATTCAATGTTGAAGGTCAGCAGCGCTTGAGGAGGTCCCAAAAGCAAGAGCCAGGTTTTGTGATCTCAACCGCCATGAGCCTAGTTTGGATCTACTCCAAAAAACAAGAGCCTCCACTCACGGACAAACATGTCCACCCTGCCATTCTACAGTGCCAAGCTCGTTGAGTGGACATCTTCGTGCACCTCTGCCCACACCTGAACTTACCTGATGTACGACGTGGCAGTTCTACCGACATCATGCTCCCCTGAACACAACTATTTGCTTCCAGGTCTTCCCCCGTTTGGTTTCATAGTTTGACCACGGTCCCAGAGTCCTGCGACCACTCTTGGTCTTCCCAATCCACCGGCGTGGTGTAGTCCAAGCCTGCTCTGGCGGATCGCTCCAAGAGGGTGCTGTGGCATCCCGGGCCCTGTTCACCAGATCACCATCAGCCTCCAAATTAACATTGAGCACAACAATAAAGTTGTAACCGTGAACTCCACCGACTTAGAATGCTCAAGTGAACACGCATCTGCACAGTCCTCTGCCAAAACCCTTGTGCCCAGTTCAAGACAAATGAAATCCTAAAGGCATTGTGACGGATAAACATGCAAAGGATGTGTCGCTTCAACAACATCCTTTTCGTTATTTACGTGGTTCTTCATCAGCCGGCAGTCATCCAAGAATTTTGCCAAAGATGAAGTCGTTCCACATGTTCGTGAACAATGCATGTGTGAGTGCGCAAACATATGTTTCAAGAACATGCAGTGACGGTGCCCGCAGTATATTGTTTTCAGCTATAAATTCAGAGTAGAGACGAAAGTGAAACTGTGCCATGAAGATCTGGTTGCAGTGAATCTGAGTGGTGTTCCTGGGACGAAGCATGTAGAGCCTATTGGCGAGAAGGTCCTGAGTCGACCACCCCTAGAGGTTGGACCATTTCCCTCCCCAGCCCGATCCGTCCTCCGGCTTGAGGCCACACTGTTCTACATAGCGCAGCCAAAGAAGGCCATGCGGAGATCGTCAAAGAACTACTCGCAGCTGGTGCGACGAAAGAGATCCAGGACAACAACGGCCAGGGCCTCAGAGGGGGCTTCATGCGGGCATGAGGCTGCAGGGATCAGATCGAATGTGGTGGTTTGACATGTGACAGGGCGGATCAAACTAGAAAAGAACACAGTGTAGCAATTAGAAGGCGAGTAAAGAATCAGAAGGCCCGGTCCACAAACACAGTTGTTTGCTCCCAAGTCTCTGTGCCCACGGCTCCCTTTAGTTTTTTGGAAACATCCAGACAATGTGTCGGTTGACAAGTTCTGCCGTGCTCCTAGTGGATTCGGCAAATCAGTTTGCACAATTGACATTGGTTTCAAGCCTTGTGATTAAGACAGATTAGTTTCGCGGCAGTTTACTGTGCTGGAAATCATTGGAAAAGTCGGAAAGAGCAGGAGTACTTTTGCTTCCAGAATAGCTTCATGCCATTGGCCTTCTGAGTTGATCCTAGAATTGCTGGTTTTGGTTTATCAACTGACATGGGAACTTTCATCGACACGCAAGTCATAAGATGCTTGATCAATTGCCTGGGTAATGGGGGGGTACCTTGGGTAAATATTCCAGGTTATACCGTGAGTTCATGGAATATGTGTTTGGAATATGTTTTCTGGAATATTTATAGCCCTGAGTATAGGATACTCTATACTGGACACATACCTGGAATATTTTTTGTTAAGATGCTATGTTGGCAGCACTACAAAGAAGAAGCAATTTTTTGAACCTGAGTGGATGAAGTTCGATATTGTTCGATTTGTTTCGATCTGTTCCAGTTGACTTGAGTGGCAAGCTCCTGGATTCGTGCAACTTTTGAGTCGACACTTTTGTACCTGTTCGATTTGTTGATCAAAACTAATGATATGTTTGGGGTTTGCTTTTGGAATCTTTTAACTGAATGCGAGGTGACATTCAGCTCACACAGATCTAGAGAGATCTAGAGTGATCAAGAAACTACAGAGCTTCAGGGGCGAATGAAAAAGAAGCTGACATACGACTGCGCCTGTGCATTTTGGTCACTTTTTTCAAGATTTGTGGCAGCATGTGGCAACATACTTCGAATATATATTTATTATCAATAACTGGAATGCTTGTGGTAAAAATGTTGTGATTATTCCACTAACTAAACTACCTATTGGAATATTTGATTGTGGCCATCTGACACTATACTGGAATACAGTTATTTTTTATATTCCGGCAGGTATCGACGGTCAGGGGTATCTAAGGGACGCCCCATCCTGGGTATCATGCCCCCCTTCTTATTGGTGATGTCAGCAGTCAAGCGGGTAATGTGTGTCTCAATGCGTTTTGTCATTCGTGTGTGTATCAATCATACCATGGATGACTGTGCATCTGGTGGAGTGGATTCAAAACCTTCATTGGAACGGACGACTTCCTTTCCTTCCAAGTGTGCCAAGTAGGCACCTGTTTGGGTTATTAAGGAAAGCACAGTTGTTCTGACAAGCTTAGACCGTAGCTTGATAGTCTGAGTGATATCTTTTGGTAGATTTTCCAATTGGATTCCTTTTTGCTCGGTGCTGCATGATGCCTTCTGATTCACCTTCGTTGTTTCTTCGTTCCCTCTCATCGTCGATGAAATTAGCTATACATGTCTTGGTTTTGGTTCACTGGCCAAAGCGGGAACTTCTTTCAGCACAAGTTGGTCATAGGCTAGGTTGGTCAATCTGAGTTCTTTCTGTTCTTAGTAGCTTCCAAGATGTGTCGCTTTGGTGAGCAGTTGGTACACCATTCTTGGGCTGCTTTCCACCATGTCGTCCATTTTGGTGAGGCCCTGCTAGTGTTCCGCTTCTGTGACTTCAAACTTAACAAATACTGGCAGCAATCGAATTCTAGCCAGCTCAGCACACAGTCGATTGCGCTGGAAGCACGGAATGGCCCTCGCTCCTATTTCATAGCGTGCACACCAACCAGCCCCGAACTTCGAGTGGCAGGATGTGCACAGTGCACGTCTCTTTGGCCCCTGGGTTTCTTGCTGAAGAGGGATCGGACCTTGGCACTGGTCTTCTGTCCTTGAAGCAAAGACCAATCAGGTCTTCCTTGAAGCTGTCTCGCCCTTACGCCATCACGTACTTGCTGGACAAAAACCCTGGTTCGGCCGCTTGCTGGAGTTGCCCTGACTTCGCCCAACAACACTCCAGCAGAGGCCGCCTCAGTGCTCACACGACCTGGAACGGGTTGTTGCATTCATCCGCATGCATATGCCCTCACCACAGTTCCGTTGGCCTCAACCGACGCCTCCCATGTGGGGAGAAGAAATAGTGCACTTGAAACCGCTCGTGGTTAACAGTTGACCGGATTTTGCACCTCACAAGGTCCAAGGTCGAGGGCACTCGAGAAACCAACAGGCCTTTCTGCCCCTTTTGACGGATTTCTTGGCTCAGACAGCCGCATTGTTCAGACCGAATGCTTTTATCTTGAGCAGTCCGCGATCAAGGTGAGCTGCTCTGACCTTCTTCATTGTCGTCGCTGAAGGATTTAGCGAAGCAGGGACAAATCATCACTCTCAGAATCCATGCCAATGTCAGGATGCCAAGTATGATCGTCATGATCAGAGTGCGGACAAAGTTGCTCCACTCTAACTTCATGTCATCTTGTCCTGCTCCTTAGGCTTCTTGGTGGTGTTAAAAAAGATAACATGACTCGACAATCGATTCCTTTCCGCATCAGACCTCACGAGGTTGTCCGAATCTCGGGCACAGTCTCGGCTCTTGCGCATTGCAGAGTATGGCCAGCCACAAGCAGCACATAGCTGCCCGGTAGCGCTTCCAACCATCGCTCTGAGCTGACTCAGCACCTGCTGGCATTTTAGATCTCTCAATGGATCCTTTGACGACCAATTCTTCGATTGCAACGCTTGTCCGTGGCATGCTGGGTTGTCTCCCTGTGAACAGCACAGTCCGTGACCATCACCCTCTCTCCTTCTGATCGGCTCCTGTTTCCGTTCCCAACAAAATCCCCCCAAAGACCTCAAGGATCCATCCATCCGGATGTCTTCCCTGATGAATGCCTGACTATATCGGTGTTGGTAACCTTGGCAATTGCGAGCACTCACATGCTTCAACATCTTTAACCAACTCTGCACGGTGCCAGAAACGATTATACACTTGCAGAAGTTGCCGTTGACAGCTGTTTGCGAGCGTGCAATAGTAGGGTGATCCCATGTCAATGTAAATTTCCTGAATTGGATTGAATTCAGCGAACAAAGCACTGTTCAAATGTTTGCTTAGAGGGCTTTCTTGCGGAGCATACCTGCGGGCCATGCTGAAAGGACCACACTGCCAACTGAAAGATTGGTGGGCTGCTCTTTCACAACCCAGTTTGCTGAGGCAAAACCGCTGCAGATCTCGCGTGGAAAGAGGGCGAAACGGAGATCGTGGAGCTACTGGAGGACCCAACATTAATTACTATGAGCCTCCAAGTGCTTTTCAAAGCAGTATGGATCTGGTGGAAAGCTTGGATCATTCCGAGACATGCTTGCCTCTTCAACAATCACTCCTCAAGTGGATTTGCGATGGTAAGTGACTAGGGTGACTCAGGGTGACTAGGGTTTACTTACCATCAATTGCCACTTTTTCTTTTCAAAAGGTCGTTGGTTTGGGGATGTCTCGAACTCACAGCCATCTGGGAGAAGGGTTGGAGTATCAAACAAGGAAGTTGAAGTTGAAGGAAGTCAATCGATTTCTTTGTTTTCGTGCCAGGATCCTGCAGAAACACTTGCTCGCAGGGGGCCCACAGCATGTTTCTTGTGTCCATTCTCCCACGATCTGGCTCTCTCATTGTTTTGCAATGAACTGTTTCTAGTTTTCCAACCATTGACCCAACGCCTTTAGCCCTAGCGGCCCTAGCGCGTCTTGAATACGGGTTATTGTTAAAACACCCCGGCCACAAGATGTGCCCGTGTATCTCTACCACACTGCCTGTGGGTGCGGAAGCACGCACCTTGGTACTTTCATCGATCCGCGCCTCTTACAGCCGCTTACATGTTCTGCTTGGGGGTCCTCCAGTGCAAGCAGATATTGCGGGTTGGTTTACCTCTGTCAGCTGTTTATCTCAAGGTGTTCATCTCGTCTTTGAGGATCTTGACTTGTCTCTGATTGTGCCACTTGATCAGGTGAACATCCACCACATGGTACCAAGCACATGTGATCAGCTGAACATGCCCCAAAAAGCCCTAAATCGTACGCAACTCATCGAGCAAATTGCGGATAGCAGCTTACCAGGTGGGAGTGGACCACACTGTCAAGTAAACATGTCGTCATTGTTATTATCAAGTCAAGTGGACATGGACAAGAGTATAGCGTGAGACTGTGTCACATTGCATCACATTGTGCCAATGTTTTCTTGCACTTGGCACATCTCGCACAGTTGATGCAGACCGTTGCTACCTTTCATCCTCCCCACCTCTCACGAGTGTTCCTATTGTTTGCAGGAAAAGTACAGGACCAACAGAACAAAACGGACTGGACAAATGGCCCGTTGTTTGGAAGTTCAGGATTCCACCAAACAGGCTGGAGGACAGGCAGCGGAAGATCATTTGGGTCTTGACAATGTCGCCTAGGGCCTTTGAACCAAGTGGTTCCCCGAACCCAGACTGCATCACCTGACCTGGGAAGTTGCCCAACCAAAGCTCCGCACAGCGGCTGCTTGGTTCAACATCTCTTACAGATGGCTGAATGATCTCATGCGTAGTCCGCATACACACACATTTGATTGCAGGAAACTTAGAATCTTCAAGGCCATGTTTTTGGTGGTCCTTTCATTGCATCAGCACAACTGCTAACACCCACAAATTGCCTGTGAGCTCAAACGAACTCTCTTTGGCCCAGGCTGGACAGTGCTCAAGGCGGCAGAGAAGGGCCGATTGGATGTGCTCAAGGCGTTGCTCGAGCAGGGCGCCGATAAGGAGAGCCTACGGCCATGTTTGCAAAGCGGATGTCGGCGGACGTTTGAACAAACTTGTGAAGATCCCACATGCTTAAAATTATGTTTGCCTCACTGCAGAACCAAGGTGTCAGACTTGATTCCTACGTCGGCGCTATGGTGTAAACGTGCTGTCAAAGTGTTGGTCACCTTTTTTAGACCTTCTCCGCTGTTCTTGACACGCTGGCTGTCGACTGTGTGCCTTCTGGGTTGCAACCAGGACCTGAAAGATGATGAAGGCACCGGGAACCATGTGTGCGACATGTGCCCCTAAACATGCTTCTAAGCATGTGGACAATCCCGCAAATTTGCAGGAGCCCACACCAAAGTACAAAAGTAGACATCAGCAAGTGCTTTGATTCTCTATGTTGATCCGTTGCCCCATTGCTGTGTGAACACTTTTTTGGCCTTTCAACATGTTATAACTTATAAATACTTATATATAACATCTTATAACAGCTTTTTGGATGGAAAGCTTCGGAAAGAATACAACAATCCTTTCCCTTGAGGTGTTCGCTTGTGGCGATTGGGACTCCTAACTGCCTCAGGCAAAACTGCCTTGTATTGGGCAGTGCAGAAGGACTCCATGCAGATGGTCCAGGCGCTGCTCGCTACCGGGGCCGCGAAGGACATCCAGACGAATCTTGGCCATTGTCTCAGAGGGCTCAATTCTTTGGACAGTTCTGAGGTTTAGCTTGTACAAAGTGTTGTGGCAGTCTTTTGCCAAACTCAGGCAGGTCTCAGAAGGTATCGCTTTGCCACAGCTGGCCTCGGAGGGAATTTCAACCTTCTGCATGAAGGAACGCTCAGGCCCTGTTAAAAGCCGGTGTGCAACTTCAACTCTGTTAGGTGTAATTACACTTGTCATTTCTTTTTAACCGTCCGAACGGTTCAAACAGTTGGGTTGTCATTATTGCGTGTTGAAGCTTGTTGCATCGATTGTATCGGGTGTGCAGTGTGCAGAGATCCTATGGGCTCGACAGCTTTGCACACGTTGACCAGTTTCGATGTTTTTCGTCCGCTTCTTTGGGCCCTGTCCCTTTAACTCAGAGGGTCCGCCACACCAAGGAACTGTTTTATGTTTGACGTTCTATTCCGCATGGACATTTAATTGTTGGAGATGTGCTGGGATGCTTTCATTTTCCACTACTTTCAATCTTCTGAAGCGTGTCCACCTCGCTCTCTGGCCTGTCATGTGTATCTCAGCAGAAGGCCGTATCCGCATGATTGGACGCAGCTCCGTCCGCAGCTGCTCCTCAGTTTCTCGGCTTCTGCAGTTGCCTCCATTCCACCAGGATGGAGCGAGGCTCTGGGACCGTCGACAGCTGCAATTCCCTCATTATTCCGTGGCAAAAAGGTCTCACACCAGGAAAATACAAAAGTTTCCACCAGCAGAAACAAAAGCGCTCCCAAGAGATGCCGCCGAAGAGCGAATCGCATGAGTTTCACGTGAAAGAACTTTGGGATCAAACAATGGTTTCGACTTCATGTTCACGGACGACTGTGCAGTCTTGTATACTCTCTCGGATGGCAGGTAAATGTGTGAGATGTCCAGACCCTGCACCCTCAGCCTGACTTTCTGGCCAGCCAAATCATAGCACATGCGCAAGGCCGCCAAAGCCGGCCGGCTAAACAAGAGTGGGACTCCACAAGTACAATCACCTCTTGACAATGCGCGGGAGCCTCCCTGAAATGCAAGAACAGCCTTTCAAATTCAACGTTGAAGGTCAGCAGTGCTTGAGGAGGTCCCAAAAGCAAGAGCCAGGTTTTGTGATCTCAACCGCCATGAGCCTAGTTTGGATCTACTCCCAAAAACAAGAGCCTCCACTCACGGACAAACATGTCCACCCTGCCATTCTACTGCCAAAGCTCGTTGAGTGGACATCTTCGTGCACCTCTGCCCACACCTGAACTTACCTGATGTACGACGTGGCAGTTCTACCGACATCATGCCCGCCGGAACACAACTATTTGCTTCCAGGTCTTCCCCCGTTTGGTTTCATAGCTTGACCACGGTCCCAGAGTCCTGCAGCTCATGCCACTTGCCTCCAGCACCTGAATCACCCTCATCATACGACTCTGACCAACGACCATGGAGCATCGAAGTGATGTGGTGGATTTCGCTGGTGTCGAACCCGCATGTTTGAACATCAGTGAACCAACTAGCAATTATTGAAGCCTCGTTTGAGCAGACGACTTCCTTCCCCTCCAAGTGCGCCAATATGCCTTCCCTTCCCTTCCCTTCTCTCTTAGACTTCCATGACGTTGGCCGTATAACAGATCTCACCAGAGCCACTTCCACCCAAAGATCCTGCGACCACGCTTGGTCTTCCCAAATCCGCGTCATTCCATTTCTTCATCAGCGGGCAGTCATCCAATAATTTTGCTAAAGATACCCAAAGATTAATTCTTTCTACATGTTCGTGAACAATGCATGTGTGAGTGTGCAAAAATATGTTTCAAGAACATGCGCCAACGGCCTGCGCTCTATGCTGTTTTCAGCAATACATTCAGAGTAGAGACGAAAGTGAAACTGTGCCATGAAGATCTGGTTGCAGTGAATCTGAGTGGTGTTCCTGGTACGAAGCATGTAGAGCCTATTGGCGAGAAGGTCCTGAGTCGACCACCCCTAGAGGTTGGACCATTTCCCTCCCCAGCCCGATCCGTCCTCCGGCTTGAGGCCACACTGCTCTACATCGCGCAGCCAAAAAAGGCCACGTGGAGATTGTCAAAGAACTCCTTGCAGCCGGTGCGACGAAGGAGATCCAAGACAACAACGGCCAGGGCCTCAGAGGGGGCTTCATGCGGGCATGAGGCTGCACGGATCAGATCGAATGTGGTGATCTGAAATGACAGGGTGGAGCAACCTAGAAAAGAACACGGTACAGTATAACCAACTTTAAGTGCTTTGGACAGATGAACGGTTCAACCATAGCCCACAACTCACAACACCCGGAGGGATGGGTTCCCACCTGACAGGATTGAGTTAGTTGAGCTGTTGCAGGACATTACCTACCAAATGCCCCTGCAGTAACCGACATAGAAAGCACTCAAATGAACATGCATTAGCGTGGCGGCATCTGCACGGCACTCATACAGTCCTTGTGCCTTTTTCGTGTCCGGACAGGTATGGGAAGCCTCGAAGAACAAGTCTGGCTTTGTTTTATTTTCACCTGACAATCACATCTTCAGCCTCAATCTTCTTCCATGTCAGGACCTAGCGTGCTGTGATAACGCGCTGCGCTTGGACTTGGATGGCAGTCTCGATCTCACTTGCCGTGGCAATCTTCCAGACAGCGCAAAAGGTGGCACTGGTTGAGCTCAATTGAATTGAGCTGTCGCATTTGTTCCTGGCCCTTCCTGCTGGCAGCCACGTAGACGCCGTCCATCTCGATGCAGCCGTCAACGATCCTCCAGCCTTCTGGAGCATCAGCTGGAAGTTGGGTGAGGCAGACGTCCCCAATTAGCAATTAATCATCAGGCTTTGGCACCGGAATTCACCGGAATCTCATGCTTTTGGAGAGGACTATCTTGCAGTTTGAGTCTCAGACGCTGAAGCTATCTGAAGCGTCACTCTTCCTCTTGGGCCAGCTTCAGTGATTCCCTCCACCTCTGTTGGGGCATTCGTTGGTTGCACTGAGTCCTCTGAGTCCTCTCTATGTGCAAATCGAGGAAAGACGACATTGATTGACTCTCCTTTGCTTCGTCATGTTCACCTGCTTCTCCTCCATCAGCCTATGGATGGCATGACTGCATCCTCATCCCCCGCAAGTGCGCCAAGAGTTGCGCCAAGCGTGCTGCAGCAATCAGTATTGTTGGTATACATGTTGGTAGACATTAAACATTTGATTAGGACATTGAGAAAATAAAGCAAATTATATATATATTGAGAACAGTTTAGACCATAGCTTGGTAGTCTGAGTGATTTGTTCTTTGGTAGACTTTCTCATCGGATCATTTTAATATACTGATGAATGCAGCATGCTCGCTGTTGGAAGATGCCTTGTGATTAAACTTCCTGGTTTCTTCGTTCCCTCACATCGTCGATGAAGTCGGTCGCATAGATCTTGGTTTTGGCTCAATGGCCACCGCCACCAGAGCCACTTCCAAATCTTCCACCCAGAGATCCTGCGACCACGCTTGGTCTTCCTCAATCCACCTAGAACGGGGTGGTGTAGTTAGTGTAGTCCAAGCCTGCTCTGAGTCTGGTGGATCGCTCCAAGAGGGTGCTGTGGCATCCTGGGCCCTGTCCGCCGCCGATCACGAGGGGCTGGCACTCCAAGGTCTTCATGGTGCCCGCATGTGCCTGCACTATCTAGATAGCCTACATCTCATCCATCTTGACATGCACGTGGGTCATAGACTGTCCCACTACCCACTGCTGTGGTGCAACGCCGTTGTGGAAGGACAGCTGATTGATAGAATGTGGGATGACAGGCTGTGGTCCTCATTCTGGTCCATGTCGAATTCCAGGTGCCTTCGTTCAACGACTCGGAAGCATAATGCCTCTTTGGGTGGCCCGCTTACTGAGATACTCAATCAACCTTCAATCCTTCAATCGACCTTCAGTTTGTGAGATGCTCACCTGCAGTACCCCCACCAGGGCCCGAGGCCGGACCCACTCATGTCGTGTTGGTGGCCCGAAGGAGTGATCCGACCCGTCCTGCCAAGTGGCAACTCATTTTGCCAGTGGCTCGACCCAGGATCCCAGCAGTGTAGATGTGCTAAACGCTTTAAGTTGCTGTAATGGTGGTCCAAATCATTCAATCACTGGACCATACTTGAATACCTGATCGTTTCAAAGTCCTTTGGGGTTCCCTCGCGCCAACAAAGCCTCCCACAGAATTCTTCTCTCACAGGGGCAAGTCTCTGGATGTTTTGACATGTTCACCAAAACAAGAGGACCAACGGGTCACCCTGCCACAAAGGCAGCCAAATTACCAGATTACTTGTGTCGCTCCATTTCCGAGAGATGTTATGTGTTCTTCTCACACCATGCCCTTCAACTCGCTGGATCACCTAGATCATTTTTTTGCAGACTTGATTGGTTTGAAAGTTGTCACTTCTCCATTGAAAATTCCCTGCTGGTCCGAACAAGACCGCCCTCGAAGAACTATTTTCTCACCACGACGAGTCTATACACCTGCCCTTCCGCGAACATAAGAGGGCAAAGGCACCTTGAGTCCAACAGCAAAACGTATTTCGTGAACGCGCAGCGCATGCGCTTGGCCTCATTGATGTCCAAGAATGATGGATTTAATGGGTTGATTAAGTTGAAGATCCACCCGTCTGGGTGTGTTCCTTGCGAATGCCGTGTTGGTAGGAATGTTTCACAAGCATAGAGATAACTCCAAATGATACCAGCAAGCTACATGTGCTCCCTTAAAAGTAGGCGTGGTGAAGGGAAGTTGCACATGTTCACCCTTCCGTTTTTCGGAGTTGGTGGGAAAACTCTTCAACATTCACTTCCTAATGGTCCTTAAACTTGTCTTCTAACGTGCAGGACCAAACCTGCTTTCCACAGTTGGAGCCCCAATCTAAGGTGTAGAATGTACAAGGTAAGATCCTTGAACGCCTGCAAATGAGCATAAACTAGGGACGGACGCCCCTCAGGCGTCACGCTGATTTGCACGGTTGGGTTACGCCAAGTCTCATGAGGGTCATCGTTCTTGCGTTTCCTTCGTTCTTTAGTAAAAGTTTTTTGCAAAATGCATTCGATTTTGCAGGCGAAACACCGTTGTCGGAAAAGTTGTTGATGTTTAGGCGTTTTCGGCACTGCCTTTTCCTGCTCACTTCGAACTGCTTCTCATCGCTTTTGCGATGGCAGGCAAGAGATCATCCCCTCTGTGGTGACAGCGAAACTGCCAACTCCGAACATAGTTCAAGAACTCTTTGCTTTGGTTGTATTCACATGCTTGGGTATCCAAGCTTTCAAGCTCTTCCATGAGCCACCCATCTTCGACGACCTGGGTGTAGGTTTCTTTTTGAGTTTCTTCGTGAACTGTTGCTTCACATGTTTCACCTGTGCTGTCAAAGCGAAAAGGGCTGTAAACTCCTCGAGATACCGTGTCCACGCCCTCGGATGTCAACGACCGTCTGGAAGAATCCAAAGGCAATGCGCAAAGACGAAGACCCAACAAACGTCTAGACAAGATCCAAAGGAAAGCAGTCAGAGTGGAAGAAAAGCACGGAACCGAACGAGTGTACCGAAGCCAAGCAGCTGATAACAGAGGTATTAAGAAGGTAAACCGCACCAATCACACCAAGATCTATCCTGATCGAGCGAAACCTGTAAGACAAACCGCTCTAGAGAATCTAGACCAGAACGACACCAACCGTTTATGTACTGATCAAAGACAAACGGATTCACACGAAACAAAAGCAACAGCAAACGATCCGAAGATGGACACGGCTGACCAGCAATGCGAAGTAGCAAGACAAACACCAAGACTAAGGCTTGGGGACAAACCATTGTTGAACGAACATCCTGCACAATGCAACGAACTATGAAGCTATCTTAATGTGAACGAAGTGCAACGTTATCTTAAGGTAAACGAAGTATGAAGTTATCTTCAAGTGAACGAAAGAAAATCGACGTCATCGCACCCCCCATCCCATGTTTTCACGAAGCAAGGCAGCAGCAAGTCAGCGACAAAAGCAAAAATAGCACACCTTGGGACCCATGCCATAACTACTACGACCAAGATGTAGCTTCTGTGCTCTTGCAGCCTTCTTTGCTCAGGGAAGACGGCTGCAGACCTTGCCTCAGACGAGGACCACTTGGAGGTCCTGGAGCTCCTGGAGGACCTAGATGAGTCTCCAAATTGCTTTCGTAATGCAAGTTGCACATCGCAAGAAGTAAAAAGGTGGACGTGGTCAGTTTGGATATTTTGCAGAGCTTGGTCCTCTCCATGTGGCGCCTGGCAGCTTCCACGATTTAACTATGATCAATTACAGGATGTTTGTTGACTTTGTTGACTAGGCTTTATTAGCCGTCACTTGCCAAGTTTTCTCCTAAGTCAAGTGTCTAGATCTCTTGAAGTCATGGCCATGTATCAAACAGGGATGTCGAGTCGTCGAGGTTGCGGAATCATTTCTTGCCAGGAGCCAGCAGCTGTCTTTTCTCGCAGGGAGCCACAGCGTATGTCTTGTAACTACTCATTTGTGATGTTGTTTTTCGTGCTGTGCCATAGTCTGCAGTTGAAATGACCTCTGACGTGATCATGTCAGGGATGGTGAGGGTGAACTCTATTCGCGCCCAAGTTATGAAAGTTCAAAAGCAGCAGCCAGGTCAAGACAAACCCATTGCTCCAAGACTCCCATGTTTAAGATCTACTGTAATCACTCACCTGGCACTTGATACAAGTACCTGTATGCCCAGAACTCCTGAGGATTTCAAGGAGCTGTACATTTCCTGTAAATAGAAATGCGAACGGGTTTCGGCGCGTTTCAGGCTTTGGCATCAGTCTTGTCGATCGGATGATGGAGATGTTTGGACATTGGGACACGTTTGCTGGTTCAACAAATGATCAACTTCCAAGCAATTCCGTGCCAATAACAGTGTAAAGCGAACTCATGCGAAGAACCCTAGACACTAAACCCCAACGATCCCTAGTTGATTGGTGGGGGTGGCGGATGGTGCGTTTTGGTACTACTTGGAGAGGAATGGGAGTTGCACACTGGCAACAGAATATGTGACAACGGTGGATTTGTGATGAACCAAGAAGCAGTCGCCTTGAAGAAGATAGCGAGATATGTGACCAAACCCTTGCGAAGCGGAGCACATTATCATGATTCTTTTATATATAACTATAGTTGATTGAACAGCTCAGCCGGTAGTTAGTCCGATCTGAAGGAACGACCCAATACCAACTGACTTGGCTCAGGTTGGACAGTGCACAAAGCTGCTGCAAAGGGCAGGGTGGATGTGCTGAAAGCTTTGCTCGAGAAGGGAGACGACAAGGAGGGGCTTCCCAAGACCAACGTTTGATTTTGTTGATGGCAACAGGGCGTTGAACTCTTTGAACGAATACAACTAGGTAACACAACTAGGTGACAGTTTGTGGAAAGTTGCTCCAATCGTCAAGCCTTTGGTGGCACAGCGGAGCTGTGGACCAAACTCACATGGTTCTTTTCATGCGCAGCAGTCAGGACCTGCAGAATGACGAGGGCCCGGGCCCCGGGCCCTGCTTTACGCTCATGCATTGCGCCTGTTTTTTTGTGCACAAGTTTCTCGGAACACGGCAGAAAGTGTGGCAGCGTAGCATGCATTTCGGATCATTTCATGGGAGCAGAACCATGAAGTGTTTTGGGCTCCAAGCAATGAATGCTTTCAACCAGAGACCACCTGACTAACTGTGCGTTGAGCCACGACTCGGATTCTTGATCTTTCCTTTGCTGTGCGCTGCAAGAGTGTGGCCGAGCCAACGGATTTCACACGATGCAGCAGTGTGCTGACCTATTTCAACGAACCTGTTTTCGCTGTTGGAAGCTTTGGAGACACTTCAATGCGTCAGAAAGACAGCACCTTTCGAGTATCGGGTTTTATCCCAATTTTGGTTTCGTTCACGCAGATCTTCAGGGGACGACCACCCTCAAAGGTTGGAGCTTTGATTGGCTCCAGATCCCGGTTGCCTCCTCCAGCTTCAGGCCAGACAGCCTTACACATCGCGGCGAATAATGGCCATGTGGAGACCGTCAAAGAGCTCCTCGCAGTCGGTGCTGCGCATGACATCCAGGAAAAGGATGGAGGTCAGGGCTTCAGAGGGGCTTTGCAGAACTCCACATTATTTGGCAATTTTTTGCCTTTACGTTGTTTTAACAGCTTCCTGGATGGATAGACAACAAAGAAAGCTTCGTTGCAGGCATTGAATTTCGGAGGCGTGTTGCACTTTTGGTGATTGGCACTTCAGCATCTCCACCTCCTTGGGACTCCTGACTGCCTCAGGCTGGACGGCTTTGCATTGGGCAGCTCGCAATGGCCACGTGGAGATCGCCCAGGAACTGCTCACAGCGGGGGCAGAGAAGGACTCCCAGAAGAGTGACGGCCGTGGGCTCAGAGGGCTCAGCAGTGGAGCCTGTCACAGGTCACAGGTGTAACCGCCGCACCTGACCTGTCCCATTTGACAAATGCCCATGGTTTCAGGCTGGACTCCTCTCCATAATGCAGCCTATCGTGACCATGTGGCGATTGTACGAGAGCTGCTTGCGGCCGGGGTGAGGAAGGACATCAAGCAAGAAGATGGCCTGGACCTCGGAGGGCTTTTCAACCTCCTTTTGTGAAAGGACGCCTCAGGCCTCCCGTTCCATTCCCTTCCACAGAGATTCCTGCTGAATGCTCATCCGCCGTGAGCAACTTCAATTCTGTGAGGTGAGAGTCGCAAGTCGACTTGAGTTACTCCAGTTGATTTTTCATGGCCCACCTACTGCACCATCGTTGGACAATACGGTGTCGTATTCTGGGCTGTCATGGTTCTTAAAGTGTGCCAAGTAAGCACCTGTTTGGGTGATTAAGGAAAGCAAAATTGTTCTGACAAGTTTAGACCGTAGCTTGATAGTCTGAGTGATATCGTTTGGTAGACTTTCTTTCCAATTGGATTCCTTTTTGCTCAATGCTGCAAGATGTTGCAAGATGCCTTCTGATTCACCTTCGTTGTCTCTTGGTTCCCTCTCATCGTCGATGAAATTAGCTACATATACATGTCTTGGTTTTGGTTCACTGGCCAATGTGGGAGCTTCTTTCAGCACAAGTTGGTCATAGCTCAATCCGAGTTCTTTCTGTTCTTTGGTGAGCAGTTGGTACGTCATCCTTGATCCCCTTTTTGCAGACCTGTATTTAGTGGGCTGATTAAGTTGAAGATCCACCCGTTTGGGCGTGTTCCTTGCGAATGCCTGACTAGCTATTGGCAGTGGTGGTAGGAATGTTTCACAAGCATAGGCAGCATAGAGATAACTCCAAATGGAACCGGCAGGCAAGATGTGCTCCCTTAAAAGTAGGTGTGGTGCTAACTGTAATGGCTCCTGTGATACCAATGTGGGCTTTTTGACTTGAGACAAATTTGGTGAACACGTCGTCGTTCATTTGCTCTCCGATTTAGTGGTCGGACTATTGACTTTCTAAGGGAAGTTGCTTCCGTTTTTCGGAGTTGGTGGAAAACTCTTTTCAAATAAGCTTCCTAATGGTCCTTAATTTTGTCTTTAACGTGCAGGACCAGACCTGCTTTCCACAGTTGGGGCCCCAATCTAAAGGTGTACAATGTACAAGCTAAGATCCTTGAACGCCTTCAAATGAGCATAAACTAGAAATGGACACCCACCCACCCCACCCCATGTTTTCACGAAGCAAGGCAGCAGCAAGTCAGCGACAAAAGCAAAAATAGCACACCTTGGGACCCATGCCATAACTACTACGACCAAGATGTAGCTTCTGTGTTTTTGCAGCCTTCTTTGCTCAGGGAAGACGGCTGCAGACATTGCCTGGGACAAGGACCACTTGGAGGTCCTGGAGCTCCTGGAGGACCTAGATGAGTCTCCAAATTGCTTTCGTAATGCAAGTTGCACATCGCAAGAAGTAAAAAGGTGGACGTGGTCAGTTTGGACATTTTGCAGAGCTTGGTCCTCTCCATGTGGCGCCTGGCAGCTTCCACAATTTAACTATGATCAATTACAGGATGTTTGTTGAATTTGTTGACTAAGCTTTACTGGCCGTCAAGCGCCAATTTTCTCTTAAGTTGCTAGGCATTAAAGGGCGTGGGTGTCTAGATCTTTTGAAGTCATGGCTATAAACAAGGATGTCGAGTCGTCGAGGTTGCGGAATCATTTCTTGCCAGGAGCCAGCAGCTGTCTTTTCTCGCAGGGAGCCACAGCGTATGTCTTGTAACTACTCATTTGTGATGTTGTTTTTCATGCTGTGCCATAGTCTGCAGTTGAAATGACCTCTGACGTGATCATGTCAGGGATGGTGAGGGGTGAACTCTATTCGCGCCCAAGTTATGAAAATTCAAAACCAGCAGCCAGGTCAAGACAAACCCACTGCTTCAAGACTCCCATGTTTAAGATCTAATTACTCACCCGACACTTGATACAAGTACCTGTACGCCCAGAAGTCCCGAGGATTTCAGGGAGCTGTAAATGTCCTGTAAATAAAGATGCGAACGGGTTTCGGCGCGTTTCAGGCTTTGACATCAGTCTTCTCGATCGGATGATGGAGATGTTTGAACATGAGGACACGTTCGCTGGTTCAACAATCAATGATCAATTTTAAAAGCAATTCCGTGCCAATAAGAGTGTAAAGCGACCTAAACCCCAACGATCCCTAGGCCCTAATTGATTGGTGGGGGTGGCGCATGGTGCGTTCTGATACTGCTTGTAGAGAAACGGGATGTGCATACTGGCAACAGAATATGTGACAGCGGTGGATTTGTGATGCCGAAGTGGCTCGACAAACCAAGAAGCAGTCGCCTTGAAGAAGATAGCGAGACGTGTGACCAAAACCTTGAAAAGTGGAGCACATTATCATTATTGTTTAATATTGATTGAAAAGCTCAGCCGGTAGTCAGTCCAATCTGAAGGAACGACCCAATACGAACTGACTTGGCTCAGGTTGGACAGTGCACAAAGCTGCTGCAAAGGGCAGGGTGGATGTGCTGAAAGCTTTGCTCGAGAAGGGAGACGACAAGGAGGGGCTTCCCAAGACCAACGTTTGATTTTGTTGATGGCAACAGGGCATTGAACTCTTTGAACGAATACAACTAGGTAACAGTTTGTGGAAAGTTGTTTCAATCGTCAAGTCCTTTGGTGGTAGAGTAGTGCTGTGGACCAAACTCGACATGGTTCTTTTCATGCGCAGCAGTCAGGACCTGCAGAATGACAAGGGCCCGGGCCCCGGGCCCTGCTTTACGCTCATGCAGCGCATGTGGGCAATTCTTAGTTGGCACAAGTATCGAAGACCAGGAAGTTTGGCAGCGGAACATGCATAAAGAATTAAACTGGCCAGAGGTGTTTCGGGTGCTTTTTGTTCAAAGCATTGAAATGGATGAGCTGGAGACGTTGGGGGGTGACTAACTGACAAGATGTGGTTGAGCCGGTATGGACCATAGGTTCTAGAGCCGAGCCCATGGAGCCGAGCCCATGGATTTCACACAAAGCAGTAATGTGCTGACCTATTTCAACCTGTTAATTAATAAATACAGTTTTCGGTATGAAGCCTTTGGAGACAGAGCACAGCCTCAGAAGGACTGCACAGTTTTTCTTGCTTTCGCATATCATGACTCTTTCTTTTTCAGGTAGGTCTTCAGGGGACAACCACCCTCCAGAACCCGGTCCATCCCATCCTCCTCCAGCGCAGGCTGGACTGCCTTGCATTTGGGAGCCTCGAAGGGCCACGTGGAGATCGTCCAGGCGCTGCTTGCAGCCGGAGCAGCGAAGGACATCCAGACCAACACAGGTAGCCGTGGTCTCAGAGCGCTCAGCAGTGAAACCGCTCGTGGACGGGTGCTTGCAACTGCCGGAATGATCGGATCCAAACTATTCTGTTACAAAACGCTTGTGGAACTAGTTCTATGCGAGTGATGCTCAGCTCAAACTGGACACATGTCAGGCTTAGATTGTACAAAGTTTGGGGGTAGTCTTTGCGAAGATCAGATGGGTGTCAGAAGACACTAGCTAGTATGTCACTGCCACAGCTGTGGTTGGCCACCAGGCTGCTGAGGCTTTGCATGTCATTAGCTGTGGCCGCGGTTTCAGGCGACACTCCTCTCCATTTGGCGGTATGGAACAACCATGTGGCAATAGTGCGCGAGCTTCTCGCGGCCGGGGCGGAGAAGGATATCAAACAAGGAACCGGCCTGGGCCTCGGAGGGCTTTTCAACCTTTTCATGAAAGAACCCAGTAAAACCATGTAAAACAATTCAAAACCCTTTGTCCCATTTCATCCCATTTCCATCACACCCCACAAACTCCTGTTGAACGCTGGTGTGTACCTTCGATTCGGCAAGGCGAAAGTCTTCAAAATCTGAAGCCGACTTGGCTTGTGCCTGTTGATGCTTCATTGCCACTTGTCATGGTTTCGCACAAGCTCCCGTCTCCCGAGGCAAGACTGCTGCAGACCTTGCAAGACAGAAGGGTCACACGGAGATCCTGGAGCTCTTGGAGGCCCAAGATCAGAATCCCAGATCAGATCATGTTTTATCTTTTGTCCAAGAGGGGGGGTCAGTTTGGAAAGACGATAACACATGGTGAAAGGGCCTCCGCCTGCTTGCTTTCGATTTGATCGTCTTGAAGTTTTCACAACCTGACTCGTGTTCCAGTTGGAACAAAACTGCTTCCACAGCAGCCGTTTTGTAGCCACAGCCAATCCCATGATGTCAATGGTGGAAGTTGGTTGAGAAGCGGGTGAAATAAGAGAGGTAACTCAAAGGAATGAGACAAAGTGACTCTATTTGGCATCGTTTGGCTATATAGAAGGTTTTAGACAGCCACTGCGACCAAGCACAAGGCCAAAAAGGGCAAAAGTTCAGGTCCAGGTTGTTTGTACCAGAAATTTGAGCAATGTAGTTAGTAGTTGCCTAGATGTGGCCTAATCCGCATGGATCCTGCCAGGCTTCTGATTGACAGCCCTTACTATTGGAGAGCAGCCTTTTGAGGGGGCTGACAAAGGCGAGGTGTAAGGGCCGTAAGAAGACGTTTTGTTGGCCACCTATGCACTGGTTGAACTTGAATTGTTTTGCTTCACAAGGCACAAGGAGATGCGATCTCCCGCTGTGCACTTTGCACTTTATTCAAAGTTAATCAAATTTGTGGAGCGGCTCAACTAGAACGAGTGGAGGACGGTGAAGACCTTTTGGTTGTGGGGTTGTTTGTCTAGGATGTCAATCCAACCATTTTGAAGAGAATCCATGTGCGCAACTCTAATTTGTTTAGATGTTCAACTTATTCAACCAAGCACGCAGGTTGTTTCAAGCAGCCTGAGTTGTTGTGGCAAAGTTGTGATTGCTCGGAGGCTGTGCTGAAGTTGTTTTTATGGCGTTGTGACGCTTGGGCGCAGCCCTGAGCTTTTGGTATCAAGGGGTCAAGGGGTCCACAAAGCGTGCATTCGTTCGGTACCTCTCCCATGGTTTCAATCCATCCCTGCAGAAGATCAGACAGACAGGGTCGGGTCAGGCAGAGGGATCAGATTGAGTTGGAATGTTCGGCAATGTATTTTCATGTTCTCCGATCGCAGTAGCTGCTCCCAGCCGAGGAGGGCTTTGGAGCAATGAAGGCTGCGAATCCACCGACCCTCCTTGCAATGGCACCTTTTTCAATCCTTGATTGAAACAATGTGGACCCAAGAAGCTTATCGCTATCAACCGCTTGGCTTTTGCTGAGTTTGGCTGTGCACATTCAAGAAGAGGTACCTTTCACGACCGACCAACTATTCGCTTGGATGAGTGCTGCTGGCTCTAAATGTTCAAAACTTGGGTCGATTTGCTTGCCCTATCTCATGATGGGGTGCTTGAGCAACTCAATTTTTTTGCTGATGACCTGACCACCTGCAAACACCAAAAGAAGAATGAGCCAGGATAGTGCCTTCATCGTTATAGACTACATAGATTACTTCTGGTTTGGATAGTGTTCATTATTGAATGGATACAGTTTTCATCACCAAGTTTCTTTGTCATCGTGGAAACTATTGCAATCCAAGTTTCCCTTCGCAGAAGTTGCTTCTGACCTGGAGGCATTCCTTGTCTTTACTCTCCCAAAGCAAGTGAATACCTCGAATCTTGGCTTTTATTTGGAATCCTGTGAGAATCGCATGTTGGATTGTGTTTAAGGTGTTTTGGAATGTTGAAGTTGATTTCACAGTGATTAACCAACAGTTGCCTTTTGGTGTGCACAACTTGTCGCATTGTTTGGTGCTCAAGAGATGATTTGCATCCTAACCAAGGATTCCGGATTCAGGCGCTTTGCACCTCCTCAACAGCACCCTGGCTGCAAGTCCCCCGAAAACCCGCAACATCGTCACTGGAATCCCATGAAACGTACGAATCTCTGACCGTTCCTTGCAGTAACCAGCAGCCTTAGATTCTCACTTCGTGTCCCTTCACGATGATTGGTCACCTAGAGCATGCAGAATGTTCTGGTCACAGGTTCCCGGAGGTGTTACGAAGGAGTTGATGAGATCAAAGCTGCTTCAAGGTCCAAACCCACCAGACGATGCCCGCGTTCAATTCCATTGCTCGCTTGGACTGCCTGCACAGGATGCTGTGGAAGAGGTGAAACCGGAATGTGGCTGCACCAAAGCAGTGAAGCCAAACACCTGGAGCATTCACGGCATCCTTCCAGTGATTTTGGAGCTTAGAGTGTTACTTTGTTGATGCCCCCAAACCATCTACACCCGCTATGTGCTGGTGAATATGCCGTGGGTACACAGATGTGAAGAAGAATCCACATACCGTTGCTCTTCCAGGGTTCCAGCTTGAATCCTCGAGATGAATGGAGCTGGACTCGTTTGAAATCTGGCCATTGAAGCGCCAAAAGGCAGCATTTAAGTGGCCTTTATATATGTACGGACACCCAGGACGATGGCATCCTTTGAGCACCAAGGAGGTGCTGCCCAAACACACGAGATCGCACGAGGCATCCTTGCATCATCTTCCGACACGCTTCCGCCAATACGTTATCATTGAATGATCCAGCTTAAACACCTTCCAAGCCCCCGGGATCTTATATCATGCACACAAGTGATGCTGCAAAATTATCAAGGGAAGCATGGTATCAAGATGGCCTCGAAATATGTGCGAAGGCGAAGATAATGTGACATTCTTGAGCCCAAACCAAAAAGTTCGACCGGAAAAAGGAAGACAAATACTGCAGAATGGCCTGCATGCCACAAGCTCTTGGACATTATCACGTCACAAACTCTTCAATGCTAGTGCACGTGATGTCTTCAAAGCTCCACAGTGATCAAGATCATCGAAGAGGACACGTGCTTTGTAGCGTACTTTAAATGCAACAGTGCTGCAAAGGCAGTAGGTGAGCGAGTCCGTCTACTGCTGTACTCGTGCCTAGTTCTGATACGCATAATACACGTTTGCTCAGTGAAGTGCACCATGTGCACATGAGTTTGGGTGGTCATGCTGGCTGAATTCAGCAGGATGCAGAGGGTAGGGACCCCTGCAGCGGATTGCAATTTGCCTATCCGGTTTGGGTGTTTGTTTTTGAGCCTTGGAATGATGTGTGCTTGACAGGTCTCAGAACCCAAGAGTTGCAAAGGGTTTGCAGGGGTTGTACAGAGTGGTTGATCTTCCGTGCCAAGTGGTGATATGATAAGTGGCATAAGTCAACACCTTGTACTGCAAACCGGCAGCTTGAAGTTGGACAAACGAACGGACCAGCGAGATCGTCTTTCGCCGTTTCTCCTGACGTTTCGACTGACTGGCTGTCATTCTTCGCAACTTTGATCCTCAAGCTTGCTGTCTGAATTACACTGAATTCAACGTCTTGGATTCATTCGGACTCAATCAATGCCTCTGGGGGACTTAAAGCCAACATGTGGAGCTGGTCGCAGAACAGGTCGCAAAAACTCTTCCACCTAAAAATAGAAAACCCGCAAACTTGCTCTTTAAATCGTCTAACAAGCTCCACTTTTTCCTAGTTGTTCTCTTCCAACAACACATCTCTTTCCTTTGGAGCCCGTATTTTACCGCTGCCATGCTTCAGACGCCACTCGCGCTTCTGCGGACGATCGCCGTGATGAACTGATCTCCATGGCCCTCGCTCGGGCGTGGTGGCTGATCCCGCTGGTGGCGGCACAGGACCTGGGCTTGCCGGTGATCCCGCGGCAGATCCCACGACGCGTGGGGATCATCAATGAGTCGCCTACGCCAGGTGCGGCAGAACCTGTTTGCCGTCGGTGTTTGTTTTTTGTTTCTTTTGTTGGATGGCTTAAAACAAGAGATCGAATCGCAAAAGGTGTTTCTTTTGTTGTGCGTTTTTCTTGCTTGATGATTGCCTCTGGAAGCTGTTCGTCTTTCTGTTTGTTTGCAATTTGCAACGTATTGAATTTGTCCAGCTTTCAGTCTGTGATAACGGCTCCAAGACATCCCATTCATACCACAGTTGGACTTCATGAGTCGCATGAATGGGGCGATTTAGTCCTCCCAGTGGTGCTTTTGCTAGATGTTCAGACCAAGAATGAACTTCTGTGTGGCTCTTGTAAACCTGACTCTTTAACCTTCCAGTTGCCACCAAGTCCACCATCCTGGTAGCAAATGTTTTCCATCCAAATAGCCTCAATGAACCACCGAACCGATGTTCCACCCTTCTCGCGGTGGGATATCTGCCCCATCCCTGGTGAGGCGCCTGGGTCGTGAACGAGCTGAAGCTCTACTTCACGGAGACCTGCGACGAGGTGTCCCTACTGGAACCCGCCAGCAGCGCTGACATCTACGACTCCGGCACGCGCTTGGAGACTGTGCCTTCGGTGATCATTTTGGTTCGACGTGTGCCATCGAGATGTGTGTTTGGGCGGGGAAAAGGGAGGAACTTGGGGCCCTCCCTGGTGAAAGATGGTCTTCGGTGGTCTTCCAGAAGTGTCAATTTAATCAGTGTGTTTCAAATTTCTTTGAGACTTTTGGTGACCGTGATCACCAGTGGGTGTTGGAATGGGTTGCCGGTTGCCGGTTGCCGTTGTGGCTTGCCGAGAGTGAGAAGAACCAATCTTAGAAGCCATGTGTGGCTGCAACGGACTCATGTGGGCTCTTGATTTCAACTCCCCCCAGAAAAGTCTCCTCCTATGGAGTCTTGAAGCATCATTTCCGGAATCTACATTGTCTACATGACCCAGCAGCAACCTGTTCAATGATGTTGTCCTTCCTTTGCAAGCTTTGCTCCTCAGGCGTTGTTCACGACGGGGGCCTATGCCTTTGACAATGTCCTTTCCACGAATTGGACGGCCGATTGCATGGTCCAGCTGGGAGGCGAGGAGTATTCCATCAGCGACTTGCAAAATCCCTTCGTCCCGGACTGAAACACTCCAACAACGGCTAGTCTGAAGTCACTTTAAGGTTTAACTGTTCTACTAAGAGGGGAAACCAATTTTTTGATCGTGCATGATGCCTTTTGGGTGTCTGAAATCTCCCAATCGCGAGAATCCCAGACTCGGAAGTTCCGTGGATTCCCATATCGCAAATACCTAGCTACTAGTAGCTACTTGCTTCTAATAGTACGGCCAGAAGCCCCTAGTAGTGTCCTTGCTCCTAGTAGCGATGCCAGGAACCCCTAGTAGCTTTTTGTTCCTACTTTTTCCCATCCAATCCTACAAGCCATTCATCTTCGAAAGACCGTCTCGTCTCGATTCGGTCCCACCGTGCTTTCCGTGCGTGTTCAACACCGCCAGGTTGTCAGGCCGCCACGGTGGGCCTGGGCATCGACATCTCGTTCACGGAGGCCGGGGGCATGGGCATGGGTCGACATATATAGTTCAAGATGTCCAAGTGGCAGAGGTTGGATTTCAGATGTTCTTTTGACCCGACCGAAGAAATGAGGACCGTGCGGTCGTTTGGTGTGGTTTCGAAAGAACGGCATGGTTTGTCATGTATGTAGTGGGGTATGGTGTGCGAAGGTCATCTTCCGCTGCCACTGTAGTTGATGGAAACGACACCATCTCCGAGATGTTCAACATGAGGCTGCTCATTTCGCTCGGTACGTTACATGACCCTTCTTGAGGCCTATGCCGAGGCGGTCACGGAGAGGGAGAGCGTTTGGTCCATCTTGGGCCCTCTTCTGGAAGCCATCACAGTGAAGTGTATCCATATTTTTCAAAGTGACTTTGGTGCAGGGCAGATATCGCGGCAGGAGCAGAGCTGTTGGGGGAGGACTTTCTTCTTACCCACGAGCTAAATTGAGAACCACCTTGAAAAGTCCTTTGTAAATCCGTCGTTCGCCCGCCCCCCGATATTGGTGACTGATGTCCAGTTTCGATCATTACAACTAAAGTTGGGCCACTTGGCCAGGACTAGGCCTGCCTTGGGTGTTGAAACAAGTCTTCCTGCAGGAATCCTGGAGAACATCAAGCCATTTTCCTCCAGTCATGCCAATAGAAAAGGCGAAAAAGGGGGGATAAACTGGCATGAGAATCGAGCAAGAGAGAGAGAGAGAGACCTACCGTAGCTCTGGGTGCGAACAGGGGCCGCATGAAAATGCTAACGGTTAGATTCTGCAGCCACGAAGGTACCAAATCTGGCACCCATTTTGAACCGATCCTGCCCCCGGCCCTGCCGGAAGTTACCTGACAATAGACTGAAGCTGACTCTCGGAAAAGATGGAGCACGGTTCACGGTTCTTTTCGATGGTAGACCTCCAGGAGGTACCTGTTTCAGATGCCAATCTGAGGTGATGACATCTACGAGAAGTGTCACGCCCTTAGAGTTCGTTTCGAGTGGACAACCTGGACGAAGTCGCCGGTGTTCAGACGCGAAGACCGGTGAACCGGTGAAGACCGGTGTGTGAAAGAAGAGCCAGGACTGCTATCAGACTCCCAGGACCAGTCCAATTCATCCACGGACCCACGGTGGCCGTAGGCTGACACATCGACTGGAAGACCAGGAAGGTTTAGATCAGTCGGGGTCCCCGCTCCAGAAGATTTCAGTGATTTTACTGCAGATCCAGCATCCATGTCCCTTGGAAGGTTGACCCTGTACGGGCCACACTTCATTCCTCATATCTCTCAGCCTAGTCGTTGACCCCGCTCTCCGTTCACCCACTCTCTCTCTCTCTCTCCCTCCCTCCCTGCCACCCACTCCGTCTGGCTATATCAACCGTCTCATCTAGGCGACGATATCTCCATCGTGAACGGCTTCATGGTGCCGGACAGCGACCCGCCGGAGTACAGCTACGAGGAGCGGATGGGACCGGGATGTGTACAGAGCGCTACTGGGCGTCCGTTGAAGGTAAGGTTTCGGGATATGTTTTTTCTATGTAATGTGTGTGTCTTGGTCGAAATTTGGGGTTGCTCGGAAGACTGCTTTCTTCGGTGCAAAAACAGATCGAAGACAGAGCAAGAGTCTTTCAACCGCGTTTCACCAGAATCCTGTAAACCAGTCGTTTCTTCAGTCAAATGTCCAGATTCTCCACTTTGCTTCACCCGTTTCGTCCGCGTCCCGCCAGGTGGTGCAAACCTTCTACGCAGTGTCCGCGGGCGCGTGGTCGCGGCGCCCGGCGCCGCTGAACTACCTGTGGCGGCTGCAGAACGTGCAAGAGACCTTGGGCCCTTGGAGCCTCAACGAGTCTCGGCCTTTCGTGGCCATTCCAACTGGGATTAGCTTATTGTTTCTAATAGCTTTTTTGTTACTACTAGTAAGGCACTTGTTTCTAATAGCTTTTTGTTACTACTAGTAAGGCACTTGTTTCTAATAGCTTCTTGTTACTA